AACTACAACATTCCTGACGACTCCACTGGAAAACCTCTTCACTTGACATGCTCAGAGCAAGCACAAAGATCACGTCAAGCTTCTAGGTGCGTGCCAACATGACGTCACATTCACAGGACAGTCACTTTTACGAGGATATCCCAGTGATGTCCATCCAGCTTCAAAGAGGTAGTAAAATGACACATCTTTGCACCCAGACAAACCACTGCTGGTTCAGAAAGACACAATAAAGTGTCTGAGCCTTAAACTCTCATTACTTCAAAGTCAACTCCTACAGCCTCGCCTTTCAGCATAGGCTCCTAGACAGAACAGGAAAGAATCAAACATCTAGAAAGTACCCAGTCAACGCAAGATGTAAAACTTGGCTCGGCTTCAAGCTGACTCTGTCATCAAACTGTACATATATACATACGTAACATGAACATACATTTCCACAGGTTTATTTTGGAAAGTGCAACATGCTCTTCATTCTACACAACTATCCAGCATAACCATCCTGGCTGCTATGTCTACGTATTTGTGTTCAAAAGTAAACACTGGAACAGGAATACACCAGTTAGGTCAGAAACAGCTGGGTGAATATTACAAAATATATTTTGATCTGAATTACCGAATTGACCGCCTCATTTATCTACTAAGAGTCTGGAACTATAACTTTGGTCCACAAGTGGTAGTTTGCTGTCTTTCTCCACCACAAGAATGTTCTATTTAGGTGTGTCTAAAGCAATGAAGTCCCCACCCAAAATATTTACTAGCAAACTGCCTCTCCTTCTTGGTAAATGTTTAATCTCTTGAGTACAAAGCTCACATAGTCTGAGACATTCCTGAGAGTTACCCTAGCAGTCACACAGCCCTGCTGACCGAGCTGTTTACGTACAACTGCGAATGGACTTTACAGTGGTTTCCAAGATCACACAGAATGAATAAACTTTGCTCTATATTCATGACTAATATTTTTATTGGCAATAGCTCAGCTTGACTAACAATATCTGAATTTTTCAAAATTGAGATTAAGACAGGGACTTCACAGTGATTTCAAATCATAGGCACTTCAGGAGAAACAACGTGGAGTAAGCTACATGTACATGCTCCAGCTTTGGGGCAGACATAACTCTGAAGTCATGTACCCAGATGTACAGCCTTCGTTATTTTATACTCTAAAGTTTTTAATTAACCTAGCGGAAAAACTTGTCTCACAGCAGATTTGCAGTATCTTTGAAATTTCTGACATTTAAACTGAACTACTGTAAACAGTGTTTTCAGCAGAAGAGCATTTTATCTTCTGTACAGATAGCCTTTTATTACCTGTGAGGAAGGCTTAAGGCTGTGTCCATGATTCATGCTGGAGCGTTATCAATTCCCATGCATGAACGTATTCCAGAGCTGATGCAATGGTATTGCATTTTTGCACTGACACGCATATTGCCATGTAGTTGTAGTTAAATAATCAAACATTCTGTATCTAGTCTACCCCTGTAAATATATTATCCAGAGAATGGCTGAAACTTGTGTCCCTTTGTGACTACTCCCCTGCCCCTCCATCACCGACTCCCAAAGCCCAAGCGTCTAACGGTGTCCTGACTCTACTCAAAACTCAAAGCAGTGTAAAAGCAGGCAGCGAGAGACACGGTGGGAGCTGGGTGGACCCGACAGGCTGCTCCGGCTCGCTCCACCCTGCACTGCACAGAAGAACGTGAGCAGGCGAAGGCTCACCTGAAGTTTACTGTCCTTAGGGAAGGGCGGAGAAACGTCCCCTGTTGCCTTGGATGGAAGTCCCTTGTTGCTCTAAAAGCAGAGGGCAGCCTGCTGCCTGGCTCTGGACCTCAGTCCTGCAACCAGCCAGGCCTGCTCTTGGGCCTCAGGGATTCCCCACTGGGTCCTGAACAACGAGTCCCATTTTGCTTCCTTCCCCGACTACAGTGGCTTACTGGCACATAAATCAAAACAAGACAAAACCAAAAAGCAAACAAACAAACCAGCATGCACTGGGCCAGAAGGGTGTGGGCAGAAGGGAACTGCTGAACACCAGGGAAGAGTCACCAACAGGCACCGATTTATACGCCTAACAAACTCCCAGAACAGCCGGCACAAACGAGCAAGTTACACCAATACTCTCCCACTACCTGTTTTTCCTTTACTCAAACTCTGCACTGCATCCTCTCCCTCTGAAAGTGGACACAGTACTCCAACTACGCTCACATTCACGTGTAGGGTACCTTACACGGGGAAAGCCTGACAGTGCTTTCATTTCACGAATCATGTGCCCTGACAGGGCTTCCTTAGAGGAGAAGAGCAGGGAGGCTTGGCGGAGCACACCTGTGATCCCGGCACCCTGGAAGCTGAGAAAGAGAATTACAAGTCTGAGCCCCACCTATGCAACTTAGCATGCCACTGTGCCGCAGTACAAAGAAAAAGGGCTGGGGATGGAGCTCAGGGTGGAGGCCCTGGATTGAGCAGGAGGGAGGAAGGAGGAGACCAAGCAGCTTTCCCACTAAGTCACTGAATTCGCAGTTACGCCCCTGTGAAGTCTCAAGACTACTCTGGCTGAAAGTGTCTGGCTATAATTCAGCGTCGGAGTCACAGCCCTGCTCACTCCATTCCTCTTTCATTGAATCAGAGGGACAAAGAACTTGCAACTGGGGTACCCAAAAGCCAAGGCAAAGAGAGCAGAAACTTTGTACATGTCTGTGTAGAGCTGAAGGTGATTAAGGCAGGCAAGCATGACTGACCGGGGGACTCTCGGTCCACACGGCCCTCACAGGGGTCTCAGGGATACACTGCCAGTTCACTCTCCTGGAATAACAGGCTGGGCCAGCCTCACACATAATTAAAATCATTCTCGTAGAAAATGACACGAATATGTGGAAAAAAACTAAAGTTTATTTAAAATATAGTTATTCATTCAACAAATTAATTGAGGGGTTATCACAAGTGCAAAGGCTAGAATGATGAAAAAATAGAAGTAGATCTGACGGCTACCTTCATGGAGTCCAGCTTTATAACTAGGTGAAAATAAATAGTGTCCTTGAGTATTCTTTCTCTAAATAATAGAGCGTGCTACTATCTTAGCGACGTAACCTAGGCTTCTATCTGGTGATGTCGGGTGACAGACAGGACACAAATGTCAGGAAGTAACAGGTGCGGCTGGGATGGAGTTCAGTGGCCAAGCGTGGCCCTGGGTTAGACTCCTGGCAGCACAGAGAAAAGACAACGAAATAACGCTGTTTCCTCACGTGTTGATGATGCACGACCAGTCACGCTGGTCTTTCCCATTCGTCCTGTTAAGGGGGCAGAGGAAGGAGCCATGCCGCTTGAGGTCCATGTGCAAGGGCTCTGCCTTCTTCCTAGAGACTCCTCACTGGCCTACTTTCCTTCGCAGCCTGAGGCAGGAGGAGCCGCCCATGGTGCCAGAGACCAGGCATTACTTGCTCCCGCAGAGGGCCCCACGCTCCTGGTGGAGCAGGTGGACGCAGCGCCAGGGACCCAGCTCCTGCCAACGCGTCCAGAGTGATGCGAGCCTGCTGCAAATTCCCTATGCAGAGACAGCCTGCCGGGGGCTGCGCTCTGCCCAGAGACTGCTCCAGGAGCAGCTCTTGCGAACGGGAGCAAGCCAATGCCTCTCAGTGAATGAGAAATCCCAGGGGCTTGCCTTCTCTGCGGAGTCTGCCTATCCTGGGGAAAAATACTGCCTTGCTTTTTCTTTTTTTTCTTTTGTTTTCCTTTCTTGTCTTTCCTTTTACGTCTTTATCTTTTTTGCTTATTTTGTTTTCTTTTGTTTTTGAGACAAGGTTCAGGCTGACCTTGAACTCGCTATGTAGCCCAGGCGGTCCTCCTCCTGCCTCGGCCTCCCCAGTGTTGGGGTTACAGCCCTTGTCATCACCCCTGTCTCTTTTCACAACAAGGTTTAGACGTGCTGCGGAGGCTTCAAAGTGAATAAAAGCTACTCTGGAGTCATCAATGGAAAACTATAGAGAAAAAAGAAAGAGCAAGGAGGGACAGAAATACAACTGTGGAGAAGTGTGACCAGGACGACAGGTCCCTGCCGCCCAAGCGTGCTCGGCAGGCCAGCGCCACTGCGGGCACTCTCAGTTCTGTGAGACCGCAGAGCTGTGACTCTCACCCGAGACCTGCTGCATCAGGGCCTGCGTCATTATTAAACCTCACCTTTCACACAGACACTACAGGTTGGGAATCAGTGTTCTCAGTCCTTGTAATGTATTTTTATACCTGGAAAGTGGGTACACTTAATGTTTTCTCTGAAACATCTCACATGTGACACGTCTGGCCTACAAATGAATCTCACACCCATAAAATGGCAAGTAGGGCTCTTTAAAGGTGGGGGATCGAATGCTTCCTGAATCTGATGTTTAACCAGTAAGAACTGAGGTCCAGATAAAACCCACATACCCTCAGCGCTCCGTGTCACAGGAATGAAATCACGTGGCCGGGAAAGGGCTGTGCGCTCCCCAGGGCGGACGGACAGACGACTGAGGCAAACAGGTTCGGACACAGCCTCTGGTCCCCCGTCACGCCCTGCGTCCTGCCGGGTGCTAGTTCAGTACATCACGGCTAATTAAATGTGATTTTTTAATAAACAAATGTTCAAGTTAAAAAGAAATCAGTATTCAGGAAAAAAAGTAAGACAATCCCTAATACCTGTACCGAGCATATTTAACAGCAGACGCCCATCCGTGTTTGTGTGAATGCACAATTTACTTCGATGCAGAGACAAACAGCGTAACCCACGTTTCCTCAGAAGGCTGCCTCGGGTTTAAAAAAGGGATTAAACAATTTCCTTGTGGAAAAAACAACAGTTTCAGTTTAAAAGCAATTCATAATATTATTTTCCACAGAATTCCAAAATAAGCCTCAGTTTTATTAAAATCAGGATAATTTCAATGCTTACCTTTTCAGTATGGGAATCTGATCTCAATAAAATACATATCTAAAGTCAGACGTCAAAGACTGTACCTTAGAGTGCTGAAGTGCACAGTACTTACCAATACTAATTTCGTCATCCGTTTCGGCATCACCAATGCATTCGAATTGGAAGTCTTGTAGGGACTGGGAAAATTTCTGTACTGCTATAGATAGATCTGCAATCAAAAAACAGAAAAAAAAAATACTTTAAAAATGAGGTACCATGGAATAGTGAGTGAAGTATCTCCACATAACATGACTTTACAGAATTTAAGGAGACTACTAAATAAATATTTTAGTGACTTATCTGCTCTGCTCAAAGGGGATTTGTCATTTTAAGAAAGAGGTTTGAAGGGCCAGGGATATAGCTCAGCGGCACAGCGCCCGCTTGGCAAGTGTGAGGTCCTGAGTTTGATTTCGGTACCAAAGAAAAAAAAAAAGGAACACCAAGACAGAGTTTTGAGTAGGAAGTGGTGGCACAGCCGTTGTCCCTGCATGGCGGTGGGGGGCAAGGCAGGAAAATGCAGGTTTCACGCCAGCCTGGGCTACACAGTGAGTTTACGGCCAGCCTAAAGTGATCCTGGCTAGAAAGAGAGAGAGAGAGAGAGAGACAGAAACAGACAAAAGAGAGAGACAGAGTCAGAGAGACAGTGAGGAAAAGAAAAAAGGGGAGGTGAGGGAAGAGGAAGACATGAAAGAGAAGAAAATGGAATTTTGATGGCAGGATATATTATCTACAAGTCAATTTACCAAACCTTTTATCAAGAAATTACCAAGCACTAGTCACAAATGGGGCACTATTTTAAAAACGAACGCCATGGAAGTTGCTGGTGGAGAAGAACAAATTCAACTGCTGATGAGACAGGGTCAGCAGCGATGTTCTGTGCACACTGCGGGAAGACAGACGGCGTGTTTTAGCAAACTACGGCCTTAGATCTAGAAGGTAAATATGTAAAACCTGAAAGGTGTTTACCAACAGCTTTGTGATTTACAGGAGATTAACAGTCTTGACTTGAGTTCAAACAAGGCCAGAGGTCTGACTTAACCCAGATAAAGAATTATTTCTTATTTAGGGGCAAAGAAAACAAAACAACCCCTGCCCAAAGGGAGGGTCATAAATCGCTGCAGGAAACAGACGGGAAGCAGCCTGACAGTGAGCAGAATTGGACGGTCGGAGCCCACCTGCCTGGCTGGAGTCCACGCCCAGCACTCGCTCACGCGTGACACGGGGCAAATCGCCTAACTCCTCTGGGCCACTGCTCGCTCTTACATAAAAACAGAGTAGCAGTGGCATGAACGCCTCACAGGACTGCTTTCAGGATCGCATGGTTTAATATTCCAAAGGATTTGAACAGCGCCTGGCACTGTTTAAATCTGTTAAATAAAATTAAAATTCAAATGAAACCCTCAAAGTACAGCCACCGGGGAGACCAAAGGTCCCATCTCTCAGAGCTGCTCCGATCTTCCGTGCCCACCCTGCCACGATGTCTACACCAGCGACAAGACACGCTTTCTGGAGCTCAGTGTGTACTCCATTCCCTGGTGTACTCCGGCCTGGGTTCACTTCTGATACCAACACGCTCACACCTCACACACTAGGAACTGCAAACACTATCAGGGCCCAAAGCGCAGTCAGACGCCTCTCAGCTCTCAGGTCAGCCTCCACCTTGTCCCGTCCTTGTAGGTCTGCATGGCCCGGGGCCAGCAAGGCCGCTAAGTTAGTTCAGAGAATCCCTCGCCCTCAATGTGTGTTCCAATTCCTCAATCCCCAGCTGCTGTGCATAACTTCCTTCCCTGCCTTCAGCAAGAATCTTCCTACCTCTGATATCTCCTCTTGGTCATTTTTTACCCACTAATTCCAATTAAAATTGCTCTACATAGGCTAGCTATAAATCCCTGCTTGTTCTTGTTGTCCTGGGATTTGAGCCTGTCTCTCTTGCAAGAATCTTGACACCTGATCATGACAGTCTCCCCCCGCCATGAGGTCTTTCTCATCATTTTAACAAGTGTCAGAATGATGTTTTGCCTCTTTTTCTTGTGGCACTGACCTGCATCCCCAGCACTGTTTTAAAAATTTTTACTGTAGACAGGGTCTCACTACGTCACCACGTCGCCCAGATGAGACTCAAACTTATGACCCTCTGTTGTGGTTTGGGCTTCTGCAAGGGGAACAATATAATACAAGGCACATATTTTATAAGAGTGTAATAGTCACCCAAAGAATCATACACAGAAGCGTGCAGGAAATCTGTCCACACGCTAAGGCCAAGGAATCCAGCTGAGGGCCTGGATCTCATGGAAATGTCCTGCATGAGTTCAGGTGAAGACCTAGAGCTTGTAACAAAACCTCCCATGAGGCCAGCTGGAGGCCTGGAGCCCATGACAATGTCTCATGCAGGCCTGTGTCACGGATCTGTGCTGGGAAGGCCCAAAGGTCAGTGGTGGAATCTAGAAAGACTGAGGCAGCGGGACGAAGGATCTGTGCCAGCAGGCTGAGGGATCTGCACTGGAGCCAGGAAGCGATGCTCAAAGTAAGAACCAGAACTCCCCTGAAAGGTACCACAGCCATCCTCAGCAACAGTGAGGTCCCAAGCTCCTCTGATGATCCAGACAGCCAAGTTAATCATGAAAACCAGCATGACAAACTCCTCTAGGAAAACCAACAGCTCCCTACAGCTTCCAACAGGCTCCCAACAGCTTCTACCAGCTCCCAACAGCCTCAGTAATTTCTTCTTCTCTGGTTCTGCTTCTTATGCTGCTGGCAACAGTCCTCAGGTGGGCTGCCCACACCCAGCACCATGCTGACTCATTTCAGATGGGGGTTATAAACTGACCACCAGCTGTCTATCCACCACATCCTCCCATACTGTATTAAGCCTCCCTGAGTGCTGGAATTTCAGGTATGTGTCACCATACTGGCTTAATTTTTTCTTGAGTGGGCCAACTGTGGCTTCATGCCTCAATTGTTGCTCAGAGACCTACTGCAGCACAGGTTATGGTTTGTGTCTGGATGTCCCCCAAGGCCTCATGCAGGCATCGGGCAGGTTCTAGAGTTTGTGAGTGATTCATGGTACAATACTAGGAGAATGGGTGTGAGTGTCACACCTACCCTGGGGCGAGTAGCCTGCATACAATATAAGGGAGGGAAAGAGGCTTGCACTTTCTGCTCCTCCCCTTTTGCTCTTGTTGCTTTTGCTGTTTTCCACAGTCATAAAGTGTTGCCCACTGCCCTGTGCCTCTCTGCCTTAGAGCCAGCTGATTATAGACTGAAACCTCCACAAACTGTGAGCTAAATAAACCTTTCCTTCCTTAATTCTAGATGTCAAGTATTTTGTCTCAGCAATGAGAGAAAAGTAGCCAACACAGTACAGGAAACCCCAAGCCCAAGTAACTGTCAAAGAATGCTGAAGAATAAATAGATCTCCAGCCACCAAAGCCACCTTTTATACCACTGTGATCCAAGAGCTCATCAAAGGCAATTCTGAGGACCACAGCCGCAGGTTTCAGAGGCTGCATTTTTGTTGTTGTTGTTTTAAATATACCCTGGAGTGGGTTTCTATTTCTTTAACTTGGTGTAAAAACTAATTCATTCTCTGGTAGAGTCTGCTGCTGTCATATTAACATGTCTTCACATAAAAGAGTAAAACCCTAGGATCAGCTATATGTGGTACCTGAAAGGGCACCTTCGATCCAAGAGAGCTGGTCTGCTTTAGATTTTCAGGAAGAACGATGAAGGAGCCTCCTTAGGGAAAGATTAGTCAATGAGAAAAAGAAGGGCTTTGTTAGAACTAGGCTTCATCAATTAACAGTTACAAGGCCTTGACAATCAATCATCCTTCCTGAGGCTCATTTTTCTTATCTATACAGCAGAAAATTAATAATTATTTTGCAGCATTGTTAGGAAGATTAGATGAGGTGTGTACCTGGTACATAATAGACAGCTCAATACATGGCATTAGTGATTATCATTTGGCCCAGCTTACACAGGTAGAGAAGCTGAACAGCCTTTCAAAGAAAGGTACCATGAGAAAACATGCATTTATTTAAGTGTACAGCTTTGGGGTAGACCAGGGGTAGAAAAGTAGTACCTATGTCAAACATCATGAGAATACAAAGAAAGCTGATTCCTTTTAAGATAACCTATCTGTGTGTACTCTCGATGAAGCTGATGAAGTAAGACTCTATGTAACATTAATTTTACACACAGAATATAAATTTAGTGTATGTTCTACTGGATTTGGGCCTGAAGACTCAATCCTGGATCTGAGGAGGAAGCAGCAGAGTTGAGACAGGGACAGGGCAGATCAAGACGCTCAGAAATCCTGCAGTGCCTGTCCTTCCTTCTCTCCCGGCTCACCACCAAGAGTCTTTTTGAGCTTCCCCAAAATCCAAATGAGCTACAGTACTCAGCAGTTCTGTCTTAGGAAACTCTTCATGTAAACTGCCATTTCCTTCTAGCCTTTACTTCCTTCAGATGGCCTCCTTGACTGAGAAAGGCAGCCACTTTCGTCCTTTCACAGAGATCTCCGTAATGTACTATTAATTTCCATCACAACAAGAATGCCAAGGCCCACTTGTAAGCCACCTGCTCAATACAGCCAAGCACTTAACATTACAAGCTCCAAAGCGGGGCCTGGCGGCACACACCCCTAATCCTAGCACTCAGATCGGTACAAGTCCAGTCCGAGCTACGTAACGAGTTCAAGGCCAGCCTGAACTGCAGAGTGAGACCCTTTCTCAATAAAACAATCAAAAAAGTACAAGCTCCAGATGCTGATTATCTAGGTTAGACTCTTTCTTCTACCAGTAACTCATGGTGTAGTAACAGGTAAGTTCTATAACCTTCTCCTGGTTAAGCTCCATAACGTCTACACACCTCAGTACCCTCATCCGCTAAGGGGAACAGAATCTCCCTTTCAAGGTCACTTGGGGAGAAAGTTAACACAGGTGATGCACGTCCATACACAGTAAGCACTCAAAACACACGGGCTCTTTCTCTGTCAAACATCTCAGAAAGAAAGGAAAAAGCAAAGTTCAACCATAAAGGCAGCACAGTTAACCACAGATAACCTGGGAAAGGTGCTCAAAAAACTGGGCTATTGACAGCCGTTTCAAATTTTCTCTTGGTGTACTGTAAGGCAATCGAGCCACCACAGCATTATTCTTCAGTGTTCCT